TATATATTTATATATATATATATATATATATACATATCCCACTCTGGGGTTGAGGTGAATAAAAGAACTGTGTTGTGACCTAAATGACATGCTGTTGCTATCTGCATAAAGTATTAAAGCATGAAATCCCGCATTTTTAATGTACGAAAGCATCCTGTATCATAACTACATGTGTGCCGTTTGTAACAAACCAAACCGCTTGAAAATCAGTTTAAAATTCAGTGAGTTATTTTATTTTACTTGTGCATACAGCTCCTTCCTCAATAGAAGTGAATGCACTGTGGAGGCGAAGCGAGACCCATCCAAGATGGCGGCCGGCTAGGACGCGCTCAGGCAGTCAATGCGACGTCTATGTATATAAAGAGACAGTGTCCTTTTTGGAGAGGCAGGGACTTTAATAAAGACATCTGAATGTTCTTGTTCCAATTGTAGTAATTAGTAGGTGAAAAAGTATGTTTGTAGGCTAGTAAAAGTAGTAGTAGAAGTAGTAGTTGTAGTAGAAGTAGCTGTAGCAGCACTACTGTGTGTTTGTCTGAGTTTGTCTGTGTGTGTGACAGTGTGTGAGAGAGATAGACAGATGCATCAGTGAGAGACAGAAAGTGATGGTCTCATCAGCCAATCACCTGTGTCTTCATAGCTGGGGCATTTTCTGCCAGTCAGTATAGCTGCTGATAAGACAGAGAAAAACCACTTGAAAAAGACACCCAATGAAATCCTACGTCCTATTCAATAAAATCTCCTTATTGTGAGCATCACAAGACTTTGTTGAAGAAGCAGATATATCATTTGTGTGGATAATGTTATTCTTTTGGCACTCAATTGCTTTTTTGTGTTTTTTCTATTGCTTCTGACTGTGGAGCTTCCCTGGTGTGGGATTAATAAAGTCTTATTTTATCTTAGAAGTTTTGGGTTTGTGGGGATGGGTGTGAAGTTTTTCATTTGTGTTTGTAATTTTGAGAAATGGAGCATTCAAGAAATTCAAGAAATGCCTCTTAGCAATCAAGAAAAACTGGCACTGCATGAACTCCTCCAAAAGAGACAATACAAACAAAAAGTTGCTGGATAGTGTTAAACTGACTGCATCTCTATTAATGCAGGTCTGCATTGTAACATAGTAAAAACTCAAATTAACCCAATAACTTTATATAAAAGATACTTAATACACTGCCTTATGTAAGTCACATTTTTGTATATTATTGGTTACTTTAGTACAAGGCCTTTAGGTTTTTGTCATTTTAGCGTTTAGAAATGACGCTCTTATTGTGAAGGAGTGGGGTCGGAAGTGTTGAGCTGTTGTTGCTGGCAGAACACACACTTAGTGTTTTTCCTTTGTAGAACAGTTTGTCTCTCAGCTTTGTTGAGAAGAATGGCTCTGAGTGACGACGCAAACAGTCTTCCACTGCGCAGAGAGGACGGAGAGGAACATGATGATGTCGGCGTGAGGAGCGACTCGCGAGACTTACTGTAACGTTACTCAGTTACTCTCACTGTGCTTACAGTTTACAGTAGCACGGTGGCAATTTAATTCACGTAAAGTTGAATTCTTCTAGTCATTGAGAGAGATAGCAGTTAGCTAACATGGTAACACAGTTAGCTAACACGGTTAACTGTAAAATGATAAGGTCACTGGCTCCGTGGTGTTTCGACCTTTAATGATCAGGCTGGTTCGAGGTGAAGTTGGCCTCTGCTGGAAAGTGAACGAAATGTGTTCCTTTTACTTTTAATAGGCACTATAGCTGACTTGAAAAAGTACGTGTACTCCATGCAGTATGTACGCAATCTGGACATGACCTTTGACCCTCTTTCTTATTTATCCGTTACCCGGAGAGCTCTGCTGTTGTTATTTTGCAATAATTATGCATACATTGTAGCTTCTAACATATTATATTCACGATAGTAAAAGTACAGAGACTGTACATTTCTCATTGTAGTAATACTTATGCTCTTTTGTTGTGGGTTATGTTTCTGATTATTTTATTCAATTAAACAATAAGTAATACTTTTGTTACTACTTAAGTGGTCATCAGTTACTTCAATTAATCAATCAGTTTTATTTATAAAGCCCAATATCACAAATCACAATTTGCCTCACAGGGCTTTACAACATACAACATCCCTCTGTCCTTAGGACCCTCGTAGCGAATAAGGAAAAACTCCCCCAAAAAAAACCCTTTCACAGGGAAAAAAATGGTAGAAAGCTCAGGAAGAGCAGCTGAGGAGGGATCCCTCTTCCAGGACGGACAGACGTGCAATAGATGTCGTACAGAACAGATCAACTTGTGCAATAACCCCTTTCACCCTGACTGTATATATTCTGTTTGTGTAAATAATCTTGTTCAGTTTACAATATATATATATATATGTATATATATATTTATTTACGTTTATGTTTGTTAATAATTCCTGTTTATTTAACTATATATTTGTTAATACTATTGTTTAAATTTCTTATATTTTCACGTATCTTTCCTCTCTTGCAAGGAGCACCTGTAACATAAATAATTTCCCCTCTGGGATCAATAAAGTATTTCTGATTCTGATTCTGATCATGATAAATTAACAGTAATCCGTATGACACAATGAGACAGAAAGAGAGACAGAGACCGAGAGAGATGCAGGACAGACGGTAATGACAGTAGCTTACAACAACATTAATGAAAGTAATAATATTATAATAATAATTACGGCTATTGTGGTACAATATGTTGAAAGTATATATTAATATCTGATAGTATACATATGTGACAATAATCATATGTGTATAATAACAGTAGAAGTATGACTAATGATAACAGCAGCAGCAGGAGGCATTTGGCAGGACCACGGCAGCAGCACAACCACACACGTCACACTATTCAGGCACCGCTGTGATATAAGTTAACCTGCGAGACAATGGTGCACAAAGGCTCCGGAGAAGAAGCCGAGTTAGTGACATGCAGTACGGCCGAGTTAGCAAGATGCAGTAACAGGACATGAGAGAGAGAGAGAGAGAGAGAGAGAGAAACTGCCTGGTGTATTATAGGAGGTCCTTGAATGCAATGTCATCCATCATAGCAGCTTCTGACAGCTGTTAGTCAGCAGTCAATGTGCTGTCAAGCTGTCACCTGTTTGCATCTCAGTCAATGTGATGTATCGTCTGCTGTGCAGAGGATTGTGGGTCAGAATGGTTCAAAAAGCATGCCGGCTTGTCCTAAGTGCTACATCGTAGGCAACTGGACTTTCTTGAGTTTCTTGAAGACGTATCACCTCTCATCCCAGAGGTTTCTTCAGCTCTAATACTGATAGTTAAATTTGAACTAATGAATCTTTTTGAACAACTCTTCCAAGTGTCTGATACGTATCAGGCCAGCTTGTCGAACATCTGAGAGCTCATGAATCCCTCCTGCCAGTCACAATTATTGTAGTTAACCATTCAAACTGCCTATTAGTGAACCAGATGGAATTGGATTGGACTCCAGTTCAGACGGCTGAGTAGTTACATTCATTGAATTAGACTGAGTGAACCATTCTCTCAAGGTGGGTCCTAAGGACAGAGGGATGTCTTACGCTGTAAAGCCCTGTGAGGCAAATTGTGATTTGTGATATTGGGCTTTATAAATAAAATTGATTGATTGATATTCTGCTTGCCCAGGAAGAATGACAAATCAGTGTGGTCAGGTCATATTTCTGTAACATCTGTTCTATTTCATCCTTCCTGACCACCAGAGGCAGTGCTTTAAGCACTGAATGTCTCCATCTCGTGCATGCGCAGGTCGATTATCTATACCAACAAAGTCACCTGTGACCCCTGATGACCCCGGATAACCTATATCTCCCAGTGACATCAGAGGATCTGTTCCTGTTCATCTTCTCGCTTTTCGCAGGTGGACTGCACGTCACTGAGCTCTAGCTAAAAGCTAAAATTTCAACGTTGCTTCACTGCTGTTCGTCGCGGGTAGCCTTGTGACAACTTTGTCGGAGTTGCGAGCTGCTCGCCCTCCAAGGGCTGCGACGAGCTAACACTCTGATGAGAGGATTGTTGCGGTTTGCCGTGGACTCTCCTTCGGATCATCATCCTAAAATCGGTTGGTCTCTAACGTTACAGCTTAGTGATAAATTTACTTTATTAAGTTTTTTCTTATTATTTATAACGCTAACTAATTGTTGGTGAAGGCAGTGTACTCGCTCCCTCTCCCGACATTTGTAGTGTTATTTAATGTACTTTGTTTACCTGTCTTAGCGGTTAGCATTGTGCCCGCTTGAGCTAACTTGTAGCTGTGCTTGCTTTACTTTCATGGTTTTCACCGGCGTTTTCGCTCAGCCTGCTTAATTTATACATGTTGGTGACAACTCAGTTGTGCCATTTTTTGTGTTTATAGTCACAGCAATCTAACCTTTGTTGGTGAAGGCAGTGCTCTCGGTCCCGCTCCCAGCATAGGTGTGTATTATTAACTATTTAAAGAGTTAGCTGTGTGTGCTTTGATTTCATAGTTATCACCTGCATTTTCGCTCGGCCTGCTTTAATTTATACATTTTGGTGGCAACTCGGTTGTGCCAATTTTTGTGTTTATAGCCACAGCAATCTAACCTTTGTTGGTGAAAGCAGTGCTCTCGCTCCCGCTCCCAGCATAGGTGTGTTGTCCACCTATTGACTGTATAGTTAGCTGAGGTGTTTACACTTAAGCCTAACTTATATATATTTGTTGCAACCCTTGTTGGTGACGGTAGTGTGTTCGCTCCCCCTCCCAGCATTTGTTGTTATTCTTTGGGTTAAATTCCGCTGGTTGTCACTATGTTGGGCAACCACTGTTGTTCGGCTTGTATGGCTTCTCTGCAGCCTGAAGATGGCCATGACGTGTCCCTCGTGCCTTGGTCTCGAGCATCTGAGGGAGGGCCTTTCGGAGGATCCATGCATGAACTGCAGCTTCATGCCTCGGGTAGTCTGAGTGGGCGGAAGTTCGCTGCAGAGATCAGCCTCTCATTGGGCGGAACAAGCCACCCGCCCTACCACCTCTGGTTGTGCAGCAGTTTTCAACCGTTTTCAACACGTCCTTTACTAACTTTTGCGGTGTTTGATCTTGCGGGGATGTAGCCATTTTTCTGCCATGGTTCGCGTCCTGTAGGCAATATTTTTGTGGGCGTGTTACACCAAAACCTGTTTCTCCCCGGCAATATTTTTGCAAGCGCACCGTTGCTGTGGCACCGCCCAGAACGATTGTGATTGGTTGAAAGAAGTACAAGCAGCCAGGGCGTTTTTTTCTCCAATCTCAAAGTGAGAGTTGGCCCAGCCAGACCTTTCTTTTCTTGAGAAAGGTCTGGTGAGTGAGACTATGCCTCGGGCAGTGAGGGCTGCTAGACTGGCTGAGGTGGAACAACTGTTGGGCCATGTTCCATCACCAGAACAGTTGACTCCAGCTCAACCTAGCCGGTCAAAACGTCAGGCTGTTGAGACTGAGGGCGCCTCCTCCAGGAAGTAGGCCAAAGAGTCCAAACTTTCCTCCAAGGTGGACCAGTTAACTGAGGAGCTTAACCAGATGAAATCCCTCTTCCTAGCCCTCCAGTCTGGGACTGGTGCAGGGGATGTGGGTGCTACTGCTCCTCCTGCGGCCATGTTGGATCCGGAGGATGATGATGTGCTCTCTATGGCGGCTTCGGCCACTGAGTTTGCTGAATATGGGGCAGACGTGGTCTCCCAGGAGCCAGCCTCCCGTGCCTCTGATGTGAGCTTCCGTTCTTCGGCCCGCAGTTCTGGGGCCAGTTCCAAGGATAACTCTATGGGGCTATCATTCGTATGGCCCTGGCCCGCCTTCAGTTGGATGTTCCACAAGCTCAGCCAGCTCCTGCCAGTGCTTTTTTCAGGCATAGTCCGGCCCCTGCCACCTTTATTGCATGCTGCTGGAGGGATACTAGAGCCCTCTCTCATGCAACATGCGATGGCCGAACCCTGGCAGCCATGCAGGATGCAGCCAAGTTTGGCTTGGGTCGCATGCCAGCGATTGAGCCGACTATGGCTGCTCTCATTGTCTTGCCTGATGAGACTCTGAGGCCAGATGCAAGGTGTCCTCGCCCCCAGTGTTGGGTCACAGATGACCTGCTCTCCAAAGCCTATGACGCAGCGTCACGCATGGGACGCATAGGTAATTCATTGTCACACCTCATGCTCGCTCTCTCAGCATCCCTGCAGGAGGCTATGCTGGATGCTTCCATCCACAATTTTAGTGATGTGTCTCTGCAGGCTTTTGCGCTTATGTCCAGAGAGCTTGGGCGGTTGACGTCTACTCTCGTCCAGGCTCATCGCCAGGTTTGGCTGGCACAGTCACCTCTCACTGAGTCATGCAGGAGGACCCTCCGCAGTGTTCTGGTGGAACCTGGTGAGCTGTTTGGGTCAGCTGCTTTAGAGGCACTCGAGCGCACGGTCCAAGCCAGACAGACAAGACAACAGCTTTCTGAGCTCCACAGAAGTGCGCCTCCTCCCAGCAGGCCTA